GGGAGGAGGGAAGCTCCGGGGAGACCTTAGAGCCCCTTCCAGTGCCTGGGGGAAGTACAAGAAAACCAGGGTGGTAATTTTTACAGGGTGGGGCTGGGTGGGCTTTAAGGTCCCTTCCAACGCAAACCGTTCTGTGATTCTATGATTTTCAAAGAAATATATCCTAGTTGACAGCTGTCCTATCCTCCCTGCCACAACCCCTGCCCACAGGGGAGGGCTCGGGCCGTACCTGAGCTGCCCGGACACCAGGATGGCCACACGGTCACAGACAGCATCTGCCTCCTCCATGTAGTGAGTGGTCAGGATAGCTGCTCTCTCCTTATTCTTAAATGCTGCTCGAATGGCCCGCCTACAAAACACAAGCGAAAAAATCCTTGAATAAAGCATCTGTCACGTAACAGTAAATCCTGGGCTAGTAGGAAAAGAGGACTGTGACGGTCAAACACAAAACCTTTATTTAATGGACCAATACCACTCCCACAGCAACACTTCACACCTGATGTTTTTCACAAAGATGACTCAAAACTCGGACTCCTTGTATTTTAAGACTTTCTTCAACTGTCAAGCTTTTAATCTCCAAGCTATTCTGGGAGAGGACACAGATGAAGCCACCTGGCACTAAGGCAGGTTGATTCCCTGTCTATGGCTCTCCCTAGTGTCAACAGGGGTAATGCGCACATAAATTCGGGCAAATCCCCAGAGACACGAGCCCGTGGCAAACAGCCCCAGCGGCACTCACCACATGTGCTGCTTGGCTTTTGGATCCATCCCGGTCGACGGTTCATCCAAGAGCGTGACCCGTGGGTTGCCCAGCATACTCAGGGCAAAGCATAGCTGGGAGGAAGGCAAAGGGACAGGGTAAGGACACGCCGGCTGCTGGGGACAGCCATCAGGGCGGCTGGAAAAGCTCCCCCTACCTTGCGTTTCAGCCCCACACCCAGCTTCTTCGTTGTCTTCTGCAGGTGGTCTTTCAAATCCAGGGCACTTGCGATGCTGCGGAAGGGGAAGGACCGCTCGTGAAAAGCTCAGAGGGCGATGGTTCAGCTTCCCGCCCATCACACAGTATGAAAAAACAGTCACATGTGAAGAGCTCAGTTACAAATATTTGTGTATTTGTATGGAAAAGCAAAGCAGTAAGCAGAACTGGAGCTGGGCACTTCCATAGGAAACCACCGTCCCCATGTCCTGAAGGCGGTGATAACCCAGGAACGGCTCCAAGCCCTGGGCTCCCTGTCCTGCAGCTGCTGCAAAGGTCATCTTGAGCACTTTCTAGATGCAATACCAGTTGAATCTTGTGTGGCTGAATCTGTACCTCCTAACCTGCAAGTTCCATGCTTGCAGAATTTGCTGAAAGCATCCAATTATAAACTTAAATGAAAAAAAAATATTGCCTCAGGAATTATGGAAAAGAAAAAAGCCCTAAGGACAATATAGCTAAAACCTTAACCATTTCTATAATAAACTACTTACCGCTTTATGACTTCCTTAACATCCGTCTGACTCATTCCCTTGATAGCGCCGTAAATTTCAAAGTGTTCCTGCAATGTAATATCTGGCCAAAGCGGATTAGTTTGAGGACAGTACCCCACAAACTTCACGGGGTCATCTTCGCTGTTCAGGCCAAAAGAAGAATCACCCATCAGAACCTGCAAGGAAATTGTACAGACTTTACTCAGGAACATTATAAGTTTCGGAACTGGTTTTGTAAATTGTTAGCAAAAACACTTGGGAATGCTAGCAATAACAACAGAAATACATACAGATTCCTTTGCTATTTAGTTTCTCGCATGTAACGTACCTGCCCACTGGTTGGCTCAAGCTCCCCAACGAGCATATTAATTAACGTGCTTTTCCCAGCTCCATTGGGTCCTAACAACCCCAGTATTTCTCCTAAAGAAAGGATGACACCAAACATTGCCCGGGAGGTCAGATAAATGGATGTGACAGTCATTTCTGTAAATATAACAGCTCAACAGCAACTAATTCAACACCAACCTTTTTTTACGCAGAGCGACACATGTTTTGTCGCCACTTTCTTTATTTTTCTCCCCAGAAGAAAGTCCTTCCTTTCATCAAACTCCTTGTGCAAGCTGCTGACCAGGATTGCTGGCATCTAGAGAAGAGAGAAGCGACTGCAGATCCCAGTGGCGCTGGGAAACCTCCAAATTCGGGGTTTGGGCAGCACCCGCGGGCGCACATCATTACCTCCTCGCTTTTGGGGCCGCCCAGTATTTCTTGGACTCGCAGCCTCTCCGCCTTCACGTCTTCATCTTCGTTCTCGTCATGTGAGATGTCCGGGAACCTCCAAGTTTTGGCTTTTGTAAAACATTTTCTAAGGGGAAGAAGATTATGTGATGTTTCCAAGGTTTCTCACTGCTCCGATGCGGAAAGGCAAACCCAGGAGTAACGCATCTACACAGCACGTCTGAGAAGCCCCAAAAGAGCAGCAAGAGCTGCCAATAAGCAACAATGTCCCCTTTTTGCTGAGCTCTCTGTTGGGGCACGGCATCTCAAGCTATGCAATGGGAAAGGAAGTTCCCCTATTTTTATACAGGACATGTCCTTACAGAATTCCTGATTTCGCACTGATACCACTTAAAAGGTAGTAAACCCCCTTTTTAGGTACTTTATTGACTAAACTTCAGACAACTAGAGTTAGGAGAACAAATTTAGACACTTGGGATGGGATATAACCACAGGTACTTCATTTTCTGCAACACCCCCCACAGCTATACACTGCATGTTTTGTTTTAACCACCAGCATCGCTTTCAAAAATTATTTCTTTGGACTATGCCTTTTTAAAAGTCTGTTCAACAGAGACACACCTGAAAAATGGATCCTGTCTAACTGTCCTCCCGCCATTCTTCAGCTCGAAACATCGCAGTAGGAACAGCCACATGACACACTGCAAATAGGGCTAAAACAGACAAATGCGGTCCTGGTTACTGGGAGCGCTGCCAGCCCTGCAAGGCTGGTGATGGCAGCACCACGCTACCAGCGCCACTGGTGACCCCACCAGTGCAGTCAGTGAGAAGCAGCTCCAGCTCGTCCCCACCACACAAGTGCTGATGCTTCTGAGAAGATGAAGTGGATCGTTAGGTGCTTCTCAGGGGGCGAACGCTGAGGATACACAACCTGAGTCTGCTCAGAGCTGCCCAGAGAAGCTGTGGGTGCCCCATCCCTGGAAGTGTCCAAGGCCAGGCTGGATGAGGCTTGGAGCAACCTGGGCTATGGAAGGTGTCCCTGCCCATGGCAGGGGGGTTGGAACTAGATGATCTTTAAGGTCCCTTCCAACCCAAACCATTCTGTGATTCTATGATTAGATTTAACGGCAATTATTTGGTTTTTGGAGCGCAAAGGGACTGTCCCCTGCTCTGGAGCTCTTGCTCCATCAGCACAGGCTCCTGATATAATCAGGATTAATATCAGCACCACCAGTAAGACAACTGAAGCAGCAGATGTTGAGCTGGTAGGCACAGCAGCATCTACCAATAGTGTTCATGCTGCAACAGGCTGCAAAGCTGCAGGCTCAGCGATGCTCAGCATTAGATCAAATCTGTATTAATAAAGATGCCTGAACAGAAGGGGCCTCCCAGCAGGAGTTAGCAATTCTCTACAACAAATACAGCAAATAATCAAATAACCATGCTTACAGCTATAACTGCTACCAGGAGTCGGTCCCATGGGTCGTAGTAGCCTCCATTCTTTCGCTTGCCTTTCCATGAGACCTGGCAATGCAAAACACCCCCACGTTCAGGTACATAACCACCTACCAGAGACTGCATATCCCACATAGCACTTCAGTCTCAAATGAGCCATCTAAATTACGTTGCTCAAGCGCTTTCTGAGCTCTGCAGAGACCCTGCTTGCACGATCTGATGCCAGTAAATTTCCATCAACCTCTGTGGAGCTGCTCCAGGTTTAAAGCCACCAACTCCCAACCAACCCATCTCCCATCACGGCGCATTTTCCCAGTCCACAGGCAGAGGAACACATGATTTTCCTTCAGGTATTTAATGCAAGACATTTCTTTCCTCATTTTAAAACTGCAATACTCCGCTTAGAGGAAAAAGATGATTTTTCACCAGTAGTTGCTATTCTTCACACGTTAAATGGCTATGGATGACATTACACCACTGGGCAGGTATTGGTAAAGATGCCCACCCAATCCCAGCCATCTACGGATGCTCTGGAGAGGATCTCCTGCATCCCCTTACCTTTATAAAACAAATCAGGCAGCCAATAAGGGGATAAATAGGAATGAAGATGGAGAAGACATAATGCAGGACGGTGGTTACCAGGTAATAATCCAGAAAAAAGGCCACTTCAGTGACAACCGTACAGAGCAAGGCTGTCTGTACAAAAGAAAAGGGGAAAAAAAAAGTCCATTTTCATTCAGTTCAGTCTCTCTAAGCACAAGTTATCTAATCTGAGGAACATTTTTTAAAGCTTTTATCACTTAGGATATAGCAGCCATAAAGAGACTGGTAAATGTTTCAAATCTCTTGTGCATTAAGGAGACAGTGATAAATAAAAAACTGGGAAGCCTGTGGTGGCTTTGGAGACACCCAATCCTCCCGGCTAACCACAATGCCAAGGTAGAGCTACTCACCACTGAAAATATAAATGACCAAAATTCTTTCGTATTCTGGACTTTTTTAAACGTGAATGAGACGACGTAAGTGAAGAGCACAACTGATGGGACGTAGCCGATCAGGCAAAAGATCTGCAGAGAAAAGAAAGTTTTCTCAGGAAACGTACAGCAAGAACCCAGGGATGACTTCTTCTGTACGAGTGTCAACTGGAATTACTTTAGGGTGACTGGTAACTCTGGATCCAACTTTGTTACATATTCATTTTTCCACCTTGGTGCATACAGCATATACTGTTAAAGGCACAAAAGAATGTGTACATGGATAAAAGCAGGATCATTTCCCTTTCTTTTTTTCCTTTTCGTAACACAGGCTCCCATAAACGTTGACTTGAATATTTGGGCAAATACTAGAATTCCACCTTCAGCCTCAGCATTTTTGCAGGAATTAAAGCAAGGGTAAGTGCACTGGTAGAAAAACAGATCTGCAGTGCAACAGTCGCATCCCAAACCTGATTAACTCGGAGCTTCTGGGAAAGCATCTAGGAAAATCTGATTCTTCTCAATTACAGGCAATATCTCAGGGAAGCCCGCTCTGAATATAAAAAGATGTGAAGACTTGTAGTCTCTTCAATTTCATCACATGCTGCAATTCATTGCGGAGCTGGTCTGCGTTCAAAGTCACTGTGACCTCGTCATCAGCACAACGATGCACACAGAGCCATCACCAACTGGCAGCAGAGAGTGCAAATGAGACTGAGCAAGCAGGGCATAGAAAGATGGAGCATTTCCATGGAAGACCCTGGTATTTTAAAGCTCCATTTTATCCCAGTTCTGAATGAAACTCCAAAATTAGGGGGTTTTTCCCCATGAAAAAGGGGCAACTAACAGCCTTAATTAGGCATTTTCCCTGTATATCAGTCGGAAAAAGTCTGCTGAACA